GGTTCATAACTAGAGGTACCACTGTATCTTATTTTAGCTTCTATCAAAAAAAAAGCCACCCTGTGTAGTAGGATGAATTCAAAGCTTCCTCTCCACAGGAGTTTGGCTTAGGGGCCCCTGAGATCTGGATGGCTCTGACCCTGTTGGGCTTCCAGGAACTGATAAAAAAATTGGCTTTTCCCCCAGGCATTAGGTCCAGGTTGTTAACAGAGCCCACTATGTTTGTTTGGGACTGTGAATTATTTGTGAGGTGTTTAGGCTTTTCTATTGATTATTTTTGCTTTTAATTTTATTTTTTTGTTTTTTTTAATATTGGTTTTGTATTGTTAGCTGCCTAAAGTTATTTGTTTAACGTAGGCAGCCATATAATTTTAAATAAAGAAATAAATAAATATTTTGCAGGATACTTGGTTAAGACTACAGGTAGTCCTCGTTTAGTGACTGCCTTGTTTAGCGAACACTCGCAGTTATGACAGTGATGAAAAAGTAACTTTGTGACCAGTTCTCACATTTATGACCTTCGCAGGTCTGTAAAACAAAGGAAAGCTGAAGTCAGATCATAAGCACAGTCACGGTTTCACTTAGCAACCACTTCGCTTAATGACCAAGTTGCCAGTCCCAATTGTGGCTGCTAAATGAGGACTACCTGTACTAGATTTGGGCTGCAAGATCCAAATGACCACCAGATGGCAGCAATGTGTTACAGTGTTTTAGTTTTTTAGCTGCCAGTTAGTAGTCATTGGGATTTTTTAGGCTTGGTAGTGCCATACTTGATGATGATGATGATGCTTACTAGAGCAAATTGGAATATTATCAGTTTCATTTTATGCCATGGACAAATTACACCTGCATCCTGAGGCTTTAAGTAGCTTTTTTTATTAAAAAAGAAGAAGAAGCTAGAAGAATATATCTGCTCTCATCCTTCTTACCAGGTCAGGAAACAAAGATTATCCTCAGCTTTTCCTTTCATTATTTCCTCCCTCCCCTCTGCTTTTCAAAGGAACTGGTGGAGAAGGCATTCTTAAAGAGACCGGCTTCCCTGTCATTGAAAATAAAGTGTGTAATCGGCCTGAGTTTCTGAATAACAGAGTCAGTAACAATGAACTCTGTGCTGGTAATATCGATGGTGGGACTGACAGCTGTCAGGTAAGATGTATCACGAATGGCATGCTGGCTTCATATAGAAATCCAAGGATGTTTTGATTTTTTCCCCAGTGAAAATCCCACCTTCAGGGGGGTTTTCCTTCTCATTACTGCCGCAAGTGAAAAAAAGTTCCATTTTCCCTCCATATGTATCCTGAAGCCCTAGGTGTGTAAAAGAACCTGTTTCCTGGCTGTGTTGAGGGCTTTTTTTTTTAATTCTCCAGCTGCTATTTATTTTATTTCTTGTTTATTTTGTATTTGTATTTATGTTTATTTGTTTTAATGTTGTGAGCTGCCCAGAGTCATGTAATGAGTCGCGTGGCTATATAAATCAATCAGTTAAATAAATAAATATCTGCTCCTTGAGAGCCCACCCAGCTCATGTTATTTGTATGACATCTCGCCCCCACAAAGCCCCTTTGGGTCTAGTTTGACACTCATCAAGCCCTTTTTATGATTAGCTTTGTAAGAGATGATCAGGCAACAAAAGTCATCTAGTGAGAATCGTGTGTAACTCATCTTAGGGCTATGTTGATTTCTACTGAATTCTTGGTTCACTTTTCTTAATACTTGGTTCCAGGGTGACAGTGGAGGACCTCTTGTCTGTGAAGAGCAAGGACGTTATGTGCTACATGGAGTCACCTCCTGGGGTCTTGGCTGTGCCCAGCCCATGAAACCTGGGGTTTATGTTCGAGTGTCTAGATTTATTCCATGGATTCAAAGAACGATAAATGAAAATTGAGCTGCCAATAACCTCTTGCTGAAAGCAACACAGAGAAAGAGGAATAAATAGAAGCGAAGTGCAATATAATGAAATAATTTACATGAATGTAAAATAAACACCATGAATATCCTGTAAGCAACTCTAGTTTTGTTTTGAATTGTTTGTTAGCACTGGTTTACAAGGTGCCTGAGCTTGTGGAATGATAAGCTGTGTTAGTTGTGATGTAGAAAATCTGAGGAAATCGAATCACTAGCGTTTGGCAGGATTAATAGCCACTGGAGGAGGAAACCTTCTGGTGTTATAGTGTGACTGTATTTTTTGATCTATGGGACAAATGGCATCTAGGCTGAAAGGGATGAGACATTTGCAAAACTTGTTTGAAAGTGAGGAGCCCTTGCATAATATGCAGAAGAATACAATGTGGTTCAAAAAAAAAAGACTCTTTCTTAAGACTGGGCTGGAGAAGGATTTCTACGTGATTTCTATGTAGCGATGTTGGATGGCTATGGTGGTGGAAGGGGCAGATTCAACTCTCTCTACAAATGGCATCATCTTTAATACTACCTTATATGCATTGCTCATTCAGTATCATGAGCACCATGAGTAAAAATTCACCAAGAAATGTTTCCCCAAGTTATAACTGAATATGTATGTGAAACATTCCTTTCTATTTATCAGATCTATTTTGTGTGACTTGCTTTCACTCACTCTTAGAGTGCATGTTTCATGATGGCTAACAAGCCTGGCCTAGCACAATGTGTGAATCCTGTCACTGACCAGTCAATATATCAATAGGTATCCCAGATATTTACATGCAGCTATATTAGAAATCCTGGTTAATAATACAAGTACTGGAATACATGAAATTCTAAGGGAAGTTTTACTTGGAATGCAAGTTTTGATCTTACTGTTGCCTCCTATAATGGGGCTACCAAGTCTGATAGTTAATCAGGAGCAGACAGAGTTTTCTAGATCCCTCTGCTGTCAGCTAGTGGTTGTCTGGATTTTTTTCAGTCCAGATCTTATAATACAGATGTATTGGTCCCGTGTGGGATTACTGATTCAGCTTTTGTGTTTATAACAAGACTTCTGAATAACCCAGTGCAAAACAGGTAGTTGTGTACCACAGAAACAGGTAGTTGTGTACCACATATTTATTTAGAAAAGGAATGCAGAACAAAATATGACGTACAAGAAATGAATTAAAAAAATAAAGTGCATTTTAGAAAATAAATGGTTTTAGCTTTTATAGCAAAGACTAAAGAACGTATCTGCTTGGTGCTTCAAAAAGTCTAATGACATTATCAGGACTTACTTTCATGCTAGGGTATAGAAGTTGGTTGCTCTAGATGGGAGAGAGATTCTTAGGCACAACAAAGGATGCATCTGACCTATTCAATGTGGATCACCACTGTAATATGGATGCTAAAGCAGATACGCTTCTGCCTCCAGTGCACGCTTTCACACAGAACTCCTCTGGTGGATCAGGGCATAGTTACCCAGGGGAAGAGTAAAACTTGCCTTATAGCTGAATCTGCAAGCTGATAAAGGGGAAAACATTGCCGGGAGGGACTTGGAGTGCATTTATGGGAAGATTGTTACACTTCATTATATGAAATGGAAAAGGTGCCTCTTTCTTTCTTTCTTTCTTTCTTTCTTTCTTTCTTTCTTTCTTTCTTTCTTTCTTTCTTTCTTTCTTTCTTTCATAAAAACTAACAAAAACTAATATAAAGAAAGAGAAAAAAGGAAAAGAGAAAGACAAAAGAAAGACAAAAGTGCAAAAAGAAAAGATGAAAAGAAATATAAAGAAGCTTCCAATGTTCTTTGCAGCAAATACAAGTATG